CGCCAAATTAAATGTACTTGTTCATTTAAATGTAGAATTTCAATATGAAACTAGACTGGTAAAATACTATATAAAATATGTGTACGAAAAATATTTGTAGTGACTGCTGCGATTCGCCAAAATATGTGTAAGCAGCAACAGCCCGCCTCCTTTGTGATATTCGTGACTCGTCTCTTTCCCTTTTATAAGTCGTTATAAGTCTTTTTATTAAAAAACTTATGCGAAAGAATAGGAGAGGGTCTTGGGTGAATTTTTTTCTATTTTTTTCGGACTTAACTTTTTAATGTACTTATTTGTCATATAAAGTACAAATTGTGAGAACAATTTCATTTCACCAGATCTCACCAGTTTCGAGTTCTCCGCTTAACAATTTCAGAGGCTTCTGCAGGTTCTTCTATTCAACGTTACAACTTGTAGAAGTAATGTGAGAAAATACAAGCTTTCGTTTTAGATTTTAAATTACCCAGTACGTGACGTATACTTACAATATATGTAAAATGACACAACTGTCATTCTCACTCGTCACTTAACACAACTGTCATTCTCATTCGTCACTTAACACAACTGTCATTCTCACTCGTCACTTAATATATTAGTGATAACTTACTAATATATTAAATGATGAGACGAACAAGTCGTGCGCCAGGTACTAAGCTACACGCCTGTCCATAACAGTTGCAGTGCCACTCAGAGCTTCAAATCGCAAATCATCTGAGGGTCACTGCCGCTGCGCCCCGTCACCTTGATACAGAAGTTAACAAGTCCCATGTGCCTGTAATATCACCAGCAAACTTACCCTTCAAAACCGGAACGTAGTAATGCTGAGGTATGGTGGCAGTACTTCCCTGGACGAACTCTTTCACGAGGAGCTCTACTGCTACTGTTTGTATACAAAATGTTCCCTCCTGTAACCGCTAGGGGCGCTGTACAACTGTCATACTTACGACTTTCCTTCATTTTTTTTCCATCCTCTAAGTTGTCACACTAAATTTGAAGTAGCGGTACCGACATCTGCCTGCGTCAATTGCCTCCGTGGCCGAACGGTTACCATGCTGGACTGCCAAGCAGGGGTCCCAGATTCGATTCCCGGGTCGGGAGAAATATTTGTAAGGTCTACATTTATTTCTCTCATGAGATTGTCTATGTGTATGTCCATGGCAACCGCGACTCAGGATCTCCCTCACGGAAGAAATATTTATGTGGTCTGTGGTGCCCCAAGTGCGGGGCTATGTTGAGTGTGTGCGTTATTATTATTACATCTGTCTCACTCGACATGCGTATACACTCAATAGACTATATCCTTTACATCAAAGTAGTTAAAACTCCGCACAAAAAAAAAGAGTCGAGGCACTGGTTTTGACAACGTTTACTTTATGAACGTCATTTCTTGATGACTAAACAAATTGTATGACCTCGGCAACTTAACGGTTAAAATCGTAAACGCTAGGTGAAAAGGTCGGGCGCTTAGATTCTCGATAAAACCAATTTGAGAAGCGAACCTTTCTAAATTGAGTAATTAATTGATTCAGGCGTTACTTTGCGGACGTCCATGTTAATAAAAATAGAAGTAAACTAATTTGCTGCCATGCGGATCGCGACATCGCAAATTAATTTACTTCCTTTTTTATTGTCTAAATTTGGTTCTGGGATTGGTTTATCGGGAACACCAAAATAGAGAGCAGTAACCCTGGAGCTTATTTAGTTGCTCTTCTAGCTTCTTCCAGTAAGACCCAAAGTAGACGTATTGAAGTATTTCAACCTAACGGAATATCAGACATTAAATAAATTAACTAAATTATTTTAAAAACCTGACTGCAAAAATATTTAACTGGAAAGAAAAAGAAAATTACGTAAAAAACTTGACTGTATAAAAAATAACTGAAATGAAATAACCAACATGCTCTAAAGAGCTAAAACGACAGGACGAATAAATCGTGCGCCTGTTGGTAAGCGACACGCCTGTCCATAACTGTTACAGAGCTTTAAATTACGAATATCTGAGAGGCACTGCCACTGCACCCGTCACCCTGAGACGAGAGAGAAAGAGCACCCTTACCCATCGAAACTGAATCTGATGGCGGCAGAAATAGATAAGATGGCAGTCTCAGAGACTCTTTCACAAGAAGCTCTTCTGCTACTAAAGTTACATAGGTAAATAAAAAAGATACTGGCAGCATTCCGCCTTTGTATGCTAGTACATTTAAATGTTTAGACATCGTGTAGGTAATGAATTTTTCCGCGTCTACCTAACACGCTTTTAAAACGCAACCGCGATACAGGATTTACGGCATTTTATTATTAAAGAATGTGTTACAAGCAGATATTCCAAAAGTACCTTTTCCTGTATAATACCACATGAGGCGTGAAGTGAACGTAATTAATACCTAATACCAAATTCTCATATAAGTGTTCAGTGCGTGTCGAAGCATATGACAGCGAGATATTAATTTATGACGTATAATAAACAAGCTTGAACAATTATGTCGCTTGTTCTCAGTATGGTACCTTTATGTGCTTCTCTTATCACGTTTCAAGTACCTTTATATTCTTCTTTAAATTTGATTGCCTTTCGAAAATTATTTTATGAAGATTCCATTGTCGTTAAACACGTATAGGATACGTAATGCCCAATTCCACAAACGTTCTTTAACTTTAGTGCTATTACATGGCATACTGACTCTAGTTTTCTCAATGATAAAGTTACAGACATATTGCATTTCAATAGGGATTCTAATATCCGCTCACGCGATTCATGTGTCTCTGGAAGCATACCACACCTAGAGGTGCCGGTGATGATTTTATACCGATTTATCGGATATCGTAATTATAACAGGTAAAAGAACTAATACTAATTGCTATTTCGGTAACTACTCTAGCAAACCATAAAGTTTTTAATGCCTGGGTCTGTCATTTAAGAAAAATAAACAACTTCAAAAATACGTCACGACAATCGTGTGTGTTATTGTTTGGGCTGGTGATGTCGGTGTTTATTTATTGAAAACATACCATAAGTTGCGTTTTTTAAGTTTACCCTGAATATAAATGTTTATAAACTATACTTTAAGGAGTAATTTCATGGTAAACATTAGAACCACTCAAACGGAATATTATCATATTTACCCAAGTACACCAAAAATTTAATTAGTGCTTTTTAAGTGCAGGATTTGCAGTGTATTACTGCATTTTATTTGAGATATTTTTGTTGTAGTACGGAGGGTATTTATTTAGCAAAGCAGAATAATAATTTTCTTTTTAAAAACTTGTATTTGAACTGAATCCTTTTCTAATTTGCGAAACCAAATAGCCGCCATTTTGCGGTAGGATGAGCGCATCGCGTGAGCGGATAAATACTTCGTAGAGAAATACCGTACACGTAGTTCACGAACATTCTTCATTATCAGGTGAATATAGAAACTATACACTGCTTCTAGGCAACATAATACAGTACGTAAGCAACAAAGAACTTACAAATTTTGTGTTAGTGTAGTTAAGGTACAGCGAATAAAATAAAGCAGTGCCAATTGGACGTAGTTAAGAAAAAAAGGATCTAATCCACAAAATTATCAAAAAATGATTTATGTATAACAAATGGCTCCTAAAGTCTAAAAATCTAACATAATAAACATAAATAAATATCCCTGGAGTTACATGACATTATAAGTTTTGAAAATAAAACAAGAGTGAGAAACATTTTTAAACTTCAAACTGCCATATCTCGAAAGCGACTGGATGTGAATTGGGTCCTTTTTGTTTAACTGCGTGTAATTAAACTATGATCACATAAAATGTCTTCCTGTTAGCTAATATTAAAAGATATTTTGTCTATGGACTATTTACTTTTAACCGACTTTAAAAAAAGGAGGAGTATTTTTCCGGTCCGACTATATTTTTTTTGTGTATGTTACGCCATTACTTCGATATTTGTAAAAAGATTTCGATTATTCTTTTTTTATTGGAAACCATTGGTACCATTGATTCAAATTTGAAAAAAATATTTCGGATTTTTTTATAAAAAAAAAATCCTTATTTATTTAATCTTTTTGCACAATACAATAATGTATAAATGGCGGACTTAATGCCAAAAGTTATTCTCTACCGGTCAACCATTCAAAAAAAAACAAAAGGTTGGTGCTACACTCAAAACAGTTAAAATGAAAAATTATCAGCCAAAATTTTGTTTAATTTATACGCTATAAAATAAACATAATGCAGCACGAACATACTTAATATACTTATATATTAAACACATAATAATATATAGTAAACATAACTTTATTGAATAATATATAAGTACCCATAGCAACATTATGCAGTCTTACAAAAACACAAAAGTTATTATTATTGTATTTTTTTTGGGAAATTACACAAAAATACTTGAATATTATGGTGGTAAGATATTCTGACAAAAAATAAACTGAATTTCAATTATTAAAGCGTCATCTCTAGTCAGGTGCTGGTAGATGTAAAGGCACCTGGATGGGTGCTTTAATATTCGAGTATTGTATCGTGAAATATTTAATAATTACACGATAATATACTAGAATATTTAAATAATAAAAATTGCCATGTAAAGTAAGTAGTAACCACTAGGTCGAGAATGACCGAGAAAAGTTGATTTTCCTAAACAAATCCTGGACCTTCTCATCCAGTGCCGACAGTGCAAACCGTTAAGCCACTGAGGTTGTCATAAATAAATTAACTTTCGAGAGAAAAAATCGGGCTAAAAAATTTAGTTTTTAGTTTAAGTTACACTATGTTTTGAGTTCCTTAATTATTTGCTATCATTAAGATCAAATTGTTAATAAATAAATAATAATTATTAGAACAATAATACACAACATTGTAGAGTTTTATTGTTTATATCTATCCATAGATTTAGTATTATACTAAATCTATGATACTATCCAATCGCGTCAAACCGACATTAGGTAATTTCCCGCCTAAGGTTTAACAGGACAATTCAGATTTAGAATTACCTTACCTTATGTTTTTTTTTTCAGGGAAGCAAATGCATGGAAGTGCGATACGGCCAGTGCCTCGATGACGAAGAGACTATAGAGAAAAGAAAACTTAAGGTTAATTAATTTATCAAGGGTTGGTTTTCGTTGGAAATACCTTTTGGAACCCGAAATGGTAGTTTCAGGTAGTGAAAAAGGATTTCAACTCCTACTTGAAAAAATTAAGTATAACAACGATATGACACATTTGTAACAACAATGTTTTTGGTACTCAGTACAATTATTTTTAGTAATTTAGCAACATCACGTAGTCAAAGGTCTAAGTTGTCAGTGTAACATCATCATCATCTTCCACACTCTGTAAGTCTCGTTACGGGACACGTATCTTCTTTATGGAGGTCATTGTTTACATTTGAAGATATGTAATTAAAGACCTATCTCTAAGATTCACCTCTTATAAAGAACGAGTGAATATAAGGTATATTATTAACTCTAAATTGTATTTATTTAAATATAGAATAGGAATAATGTAACGTATTTTTGTGTATACAAAGTACGTAATGTATATTATGAGTTTGGAAGAGATGTATAAAATTTATAAATAATGACAAATATATTTTAAGAGAAAATTATACATATTTTCTATTTTCACAAATATTTGTTTTATTTAAAGCAGCCTAACAAAGTACCTCACGTTATTTTAGGTAAAAGTTATAAATGTTTCATATTGTGTAGGTTTGTACCTACACAATATGAAACCATATAACGTAGATCTGTTGTGTATGTCTGTATCTACACATGAGGATGAGCTAGACATTTTGCGATCTCTCCGGCCGAGTAGGAATTTGGGAACTGGAGAGACACCGTGTCTTACAGCTCCGCCACCAAAGAGGAGATTTGGTACTCGACTTAGAGTCGGCGGCTCAGCGGTGGCAACCGTCAGTCGTGCGGAGCGCGACGGGAAGTGAGTGTGCCTACAACTCCGGTACCCATCTGAAAAATAGGAAGGGTGCTTGCTGTACATGCACCCGAGGCGGCTCACCTAAGGTACTAGCTTAACAGAGAACCGAATGAAGTCCGTGCAAATGGGCTGATCCAGGGTTAGGACCTGACTTGGAAGGTCCCTGTGCGGGTTCGCTCGCACAAGTCATAGTGCCCTTCCCGCCAAGAGCTTCATACGAAGGGGCAATACAAACAAAACTTATGTAGAAGTATACGGGACTCCCGTATACTATGACTGTTTGTGACTGTTCACATTTTAAAAACCAAAAAGATTTAATAGGAATTTGAATTTAATTAAGCGTCAGCGCCATCTATCTTTTCTTTTAGAAAGTAATTCCACAACTTCGGTTGTCAAACGGTTTGAGCTATGAGATCAGATATTAATTCAGTAAATATTTTTTTTCAAATTGGTGCTGCCAGTGTGTCCTGGATACTCATGGCACAGGATATTCCCTAGATTGGGACCAGGTAATAGGTGTGGTTGGCTAGCACATGAAAGAAAGAAAAAAACGAGTATTAAACTATTTTTTGGACCTGATTCGCTGTCAGTGAGATGTGACCATGGGACCTACAAAGAGTCTAGATCACAACCGCTACAGCCTACCTTATTGAGAACTACTTAACACTCACATTTTATTCTTAAGATTGTCATTTGCAGTAAAATGAATATTTATATTATATATAAAAATAGATATTTATATTTACCCAGAACAATATCTGCACATAACTAACTACACTACAATGCCCGTCGCAGAGAATTTTTTTTACACATGGACAACCACAAATTACACCCAAACTCAGAGAAATAAATGTTGGCCATATCATCAACTCTCCCGGCTCGGGAATCGAACTTAGGAGCTTTGCGTGTCAGACCAGCAAGGTAACCGTTGGGCTACAGAGGCAGTTAAATTGCCTAGATTCTGTTAAAACATTTTTTACAAAAAGTGCTTAGTAAGAAAATGTACGTGTGACAAGCTATTCCAACCAAAATAATATTATAAATGCGAAAGAACAGTGCTTGTATTTTCTCAATGCCCTTCGACAAACTTCGTATTTCGGCTATCGTCGGGTTTTATTTAGTTGCCCTTTGCTTTTGGTACACGGAGCCGACCGAAAGACTGAGCGCTTTCAGTTGGAAGTATATAGAGTTGCTACTACATGTTTTATTTATTATACAATGGAACGAAAGCCGCTAAAGTCACAGGCACGATAGATAATTTACAGTGTGTACTTGTATTTTTTACCAGAAGCCGATACCTGTTCGAGCAGCGCGGAACATGATTATTCCATCGATGGTGAACATACTAACATTGCTATGTCCGATGAAGAAATGCGTTCAGATACGGACTGAATTGAAATTGTTAATAACCGGAAAAACATTCATTTTTGGTTATATAAAAGAAGCACACTTTATTTAGTTTTTATTTCTCTTAACTTGCTTATTGACATGGAGTAATAAATGTTATTAAAAATAGGGAAATAGTTTTACAGCTCTATATAGTTCACACCGAAATCGAAACAAAACAACAATAAAGTACATTGTTCAAAATTCAAATTATTATATATTTTAAATCTAATAATGAATGCATTCGGAAATCCTACGATTGCCAAGCGATAATGAGAAAGTAGAAGCACTTTAACTCTATCTGTTACGGTTTCACGCCTAAACCGTTGAACCTATATTGATCAATTTTAGTATAGAGATAGATGGTACCTAGAGAAACAACATACGCTACATTTTGTCATAAAAATAAATCTTAAAAGAGGTGAATTAGGGGATGAAAATTTGTATACAGAACCAATAAAACTATGAAAATTACCATAGTACAGTACGCTACTTGAAGTACTTATTCTAAGCAGACGAAATCGTGGGCACCAGCTAGTTTTTACGCAACTGCGTCAGAAGCAGGTGGAGGTGGAGGATAAACAAAAGTTATGTAACATACGTTGTTGGTTTGTCCCAGCCCACACTCATAACAAAATCTAAGTTATATGTATTTATTTATATTATAATATATTTTTGTCAACTGCATATTTACTGTAGTCAAGTGAACAACTTCCTAAGTATGTCAATGTACATAATTATAATTCACCTAAGTAAGTAGATACTGAATAATCGCAGTACAGAGTACCAAAAAAAACCGACCTCAAAAGTCATTCATCCTTAGTTTGTCAGCTCGAGAGGTGGAATAATTTCTTCAATTTAAATGGGACTATAAGTGAGGTACGCTCTTTCCAACAAAAACGGGATTATCAAAAGCAGTTCACAATTTTACAAGTAAAAAAACAGTCAAATTGAGAACCTCCTCCTTTTTTTGAAGTCGGTAAACTAAATACATCGCATGCATAGTACATTGCTCAAACAAGGCTGTGTATATTAAAGAGCTTGTTTGTCTCTTTTCAGTAATTTTTTTTTTTTTTGCAGTCGGGTTTTTGTTTCTTTTTAATAATAATAATTTATACTTTTAAACAATGTAGCAAAAATTTAAAAGCTTTGTACCTTCATTGTAGCGATTTTCTGTTTTATGAGTACCTGAACAACGTAATTTACTCCGAAGTCCTACCCAGAACTCCCAGACCAGCACCGTTTTAGGAAAGTACAAACGCGTGCAATGGTATGTAAACGTTGATACATTTTCAAAATGTAAATAACAGATATTTAAAAAATAAATAACTTGTGCTTAAAAATATATAATCATTATGATGTTCTTTTTAAAAAAGGTATACATTAGTAAACAAACTACAATTAGTAAAAAGTATACACTCCTGGTTTTTTTTTGTATATGTATCCATACAATTTTCGTAAATATTTACAGAATGCATTTTCATTTAAATGTATATAATTAGGATTGTGTGATTTTACCATAATAATAGAAACACCTTTTAAAAGTACGGAATTTGTTACATTTTAGTCCTAATTGTATCGTTTTCAAAAATATTGCAGTACATATTGTACTTGCTATATAATGAAAACATACCAGTGCCTTTTTTTAATTAATTTTATTTGTGTGTATTTTGCTAGCTTGGGTGGCAACAACGTCAGTTTCATCTACCATAAATATCAAAAATATGTGTATTTTGAACACAACACAGGGTACGTATTTTTTAAGTAATTATCTAATATTGACATATATTCGAAAATGTGTCAATATTTACACTTCATTGTACGCGACTGTACATTCCCCAAATTGGTCCTACCAAGTAGTAGGTACAAATCAATGGGCTACCGAGGTCGTCTTATACAGTCTGACACTAAATTCTTACAATACACTTATTTTATGTTTAGGTAAATAAATAATTTTATTATTATTATTTGGTTCAGTTAATGTATGAAAAAACGATTAGTAAGACAAACATTAATTTATTTAAATTTAAATGTACATACAGACTTGTCATTACGGTTAGCTGTCACAATCGCAAAATGCAATTGAGTCCGATATTCTATCTATACATTACTCCAGGTACATGCAGTGCCAAAAATTGCCCTACACAATTGTCTAAATTTGTTGACACTGCGCTCTAGCCATGTATGCGACCTTCTGTGCTCGTTGGACCACCTCCGGACATCGCTTCCGTCGAACCAGCCTACAGTCCTGGAAGAAACCCTCGTTCCTGGGGAATCCGTGGCTGCCGTCGCTAAAAGTGACAAGACCTGGAAAATTATATCATCATCATCATGAACCCATTTATACGATCCACTTCTGAGCACGGGTCTCCTCAGAGCGCGGGTTCAGGCTATATATAGTTCACCACGGTGGCCAGTTGCGAGTTGGACACTACACACGTTTTCCGAGGGGTTTGAACCGTTCACCACGATGTTTTCCTGCACCAAAAAGCTCATGGTGAATCTCATATAGAATTTCGCATACAAATTCCGAGAAACTCAGAGGAGCAAGTTCGGATTCTAACCCAGAGTAAGGCTGCTACTAAATGAAGTGCATTCGCGAAGTCCAACTCCATGCAGACAAAACCGACTGCATGCAGTCGACATTGTTTGCATGCAGTCCATATTAACTGCAGGAATGACTGCAGCAAGTTACAGAAGCGCACCTAGCTCAGGAGCTCAGTATAAAAGTTGACGTCGAGATTTTTTAAAATATAATATCATGTGATGGGACAAACAAGTCTAAAGTCTAAAGATGCCCGAATCTCATGGTATATCACATGCCTGTCTGTTTTGATCATACGGCGCACAGCATCGATGTTTTTGTTGTTCACAGCAGTGAAAGGGCGACCATCACGAAATTCGTCACTGAGATTCACAGGACAGCGTTTGAATTCTGCAAACTAGCTATAAATAGTCGTCTTGCATAGTGCTTTATCTCCAAAAGCAGTTTGAAGCCGAGAGAAGCTCCGCTGAGCAGTTAAATTACACTTAAAATCATACTATGAAAATTTTCACGAGTTAAATCCATGGTGATGTAGACAACCAATTTCTAAAATGACGCTGCAATGTAAAAACAAGTGATAATCAGATGAAACAAACTGTATTCTACAGCCTAAAAGTTCCATTTTCAAATGTCGTAGTCACTTTTTAAATACTGTTTATGTAAACTTCCAGTTCCGGAAACTTATAGTGCGCCTATGTAAATTGTAAATTGTGATCCGAAAAATTTGCAAAACGTAATTTAAACTGAAGAACTGAGACTCCTTATGCATTCCTTCATTTTTCTTTAAATGGCGTATTGACATGGTATAATATATAAGAGCTCTTTAGCACAACCAAATGTACTCATTAGCACTAAATATAAAACTTGTAATTAATTTTCTGTAAATTTTACAAATGTAAGTGAAGTCACTGTTTAAACCGAAGGTGCGTTTTGTATCGGGGGTTGTTCAAATTTTAATGCAATACAATACAAATATTCTGTATTGCACGCCAAGACAAATACATATAATTACAATAAAATAAAAATACAGGTACAACAGGCGACCTTATAGCTAGGTAGCAATCTTTAACACGCAACCTTCGAGTAACAGAAAAAATAATAATCAATTGCGGGCGCAACAGTATACATACGTCTTTAATAGACAAATTGCACTTACACAAATGAAAAAGAAAAATAAATTAAAAATACATACACTTAAATGAATTAAAAGTTGAAACATAAAACATAAAACTATAACAATAATAATAACACATACAATTTACAGCAGCTAAGAATAGGACAAAAGAATTAAGTAAGTTAAGTCTTGAGTTTTGAAAGACTCAATAGAGTTAGCACGTCTAATCGATTCAGGCAGGAAATTTCACAGTTTGATGCTTCTAACCTTGAAGAAGTTGGAATAAAAGTTACAAGGGTGGATATGACAGTTTAATGAAAGGGAAGAGACGTATTGGTGCGACTGAGAGTAGTACTACGAAACAATATTTGAGGCATGGAGGAGAGGTGGGATAAAAGAGAACAAAATACAGAAGGGATAAAACGCGCAAGTCCCTACGACGACGAATGAGAAACCATCCAAGTTTCGATCGGAACTTTGACACATGATCAAATTGAAACTCTTTTTATGATGCATTTATTTAATCATTTACTGTTTGGCAAGTTGGGTGATAATTTTAAGTCAGCCAAAATTTTACCCACCTATATAATCAGTGTGTGAGAGATGGACGCTCGCGCAGGAGACTATGTATAGGAAGTTCCACAGAGAGCCATGGAGCGTGTCATGCTCGATATCAAGCTTATAGACCGTGTTCCCAAATCCAGATTCGAAGTCGAACAAGAGTACCTAAAGGACGTGGGGAATAGAATGACGAAACTAAAGTGGTGCTGGGCGGGGTACCCGACACGGAGACAAGATGACAGATGGAGTAAGGTGATGAGCGAGTAGCTTCCATGGACTGGATACAGGAATGTTGGGCGTCCAGCAGCGGCGAGATGGGCAGACGACATCGTAAGAATTGCAGGGCGAACCAGGATGACATTGACCCTTGACCGTGGGGAGTGGCACAAAAACTTGGAGGCCTATATCCATTAGTGAGTAAAGCCAGGCTCTACAGGACAAATACACAAAATCACATTTAACAAAAGAAAAACACAAACAAAAAGGTTCTGCTTATTTGTAGAAGAAATTTCTTACTGTAGACCTAAATACGGGACGCAATAACTAAAATAATGGGCTTATACGCATAACAAAATAAAAATATTGTAATACAAAAACAATATCAATAACATTCAATTATTACTAGTTACATAAATACTTATATAAACAGTTATTGTGTAATTAGAAATTCTTTTTAGAATAAAAAAATCTTTATTTTTTTTAATGAAAATATATTGTACGAAAATTAATAGTGGGGCGGCAGTCGTGTCACAGACACGCCACTGCAGTGCTTATAGAAGCGTCTAATAAGTAGGCGCCCTTTCTCTTATTTTGAAAATGATAACAATTTACTTTCGCGAACAGTAATAGGAAGTGTATTCTAAAGTCTGATGGCATGCAACAGTGAAGGAGTAAGAATAGAAACCGGAATTGAAGAATGGAAAAGATAAGTAAGACCTAACGAGAGAACGACAGCAAACCAGAGAAACCTGAAACGCTCTTTCAGATACCCGGGAGACACGTCGTTAAGTAAAATATTGTAGAGAATGGAGAGAAAAATAACAGATCTTCAGCAGCATTCAAATAGAGGAATCAGTATATTCTAAGAAGGGTAAAATCAAGAGATTATTTATTTAAAAAAATTGAGACCATAATATTCTGTAACAAGCTAAATTAAAACGCTACAGTTAAAACCCTTGCAAAAGAACTAATTAAAAATTTGAAAATAATTAAATTCAATTAAGAAAATTCCTAATTTGACTTCAAATAACTGAAGATTAAAGCTTTGACAATCTCTTTTGTAATTACGTTTATTTCAAAGAAAAGTAATCTAAGTTACAAGAGTGCCTAATATAGATGATTTATGTTTTAGCGTGAATCTATAGTACAGATCATAACTCTGAAAAAGGCCAGAAACCCGTCTTATATCTAGATGGCACTGATCAATAGCTTGGAAGTAGTTTGTATTATGTAAATAGCCGTGGATAATAGTTAATTTCTCTTTAATATAAAATACAAGTAGTCAGTGTTTTAATTTATTGTAAAATTATTTTCTGAACTTTGACAAATATGCATATCAATAGATGGCATTGTATTTTACAAACTAATTTACAAATTACTGCTTGTTAATACGGGTAGATGGGGCTAATCCTAAACAATATAAAAGAATAACCGGCAGTATCCGTAAAAATCTGTGTAATAAGCGCCATCTAGTTAATTTCTTTGCTATAACTAGACATTAGAGTAATTTTGATAAATTGGTAGCTCATCAATGTAAAACAAATTAGTTACAAAAATTACTGTTTGGCAATCGTCGCGACATTTGGTTAGTGCAGTTATTGATCCATGGTTCTAGTAAATATTGCTTTGTCAACCCTTTACGTAAGCTTGTCTATGTAACACACTGATCAGAACGATATATACTTAGAATAATAACGCATAGAATGATAGTTTCATATCAAACGAACTGTCACAAGTGAGGCAAAAATCAAATTCATGTAGGCTAGTTTTAGTAGTAGGTTAATTTTTCGGTTTTAGTGAATATTTATATAAAAATACAAGTTGAAACGCGTTACTTCCTTGTGAAATGTGATGTTAGTATCTATTTTATGTTTGTCTGACGTATTTTTACTCTCATTTACCGCACATTTCGTCATTTTTAGCTAAAATTCTTGATCTGTTCGCGGTGCAAGTTGACCTTGAGCACTGAAGGCCCGCGCGCTCGTGTAGGCCCTTTTGGCGCGCTTCAATTTGCCTCATTTAGCGTGTGCGGACTAGGTTTCTATGCGTTATTATTCTAAGGATATATATATTTTTTGTGGTGTTTTAAAATCAAATAAACCAATTTTAATAGATACAATGCTAATTTAATATAATTTCCACTTGGACTAAATACACGTTTGTAATAATATACAATATTCAAAATTACACTAAATATGATACATAACACACGTATACTATGTAAATTCGGCTACCTTGTTCAATCGTAATCAAGCAAAAGGAACTATGTTTCAATTATCTTCTGATCTTAGCTTTGTTAACGCAAGAAATACGACGTATCTCAGATATTTTCATATATATCTAATTATACATTGTTGCAGCCCCGCTTTTCTGGATAAATATAATACGATGAAAACTGTTTACAATTTTATGCGCCCATTCTTGATAAAGGAACCTTAACTTAGATAAAAGATACCTTTATACTTCGTTTACGGCCACCGGAGGAGAAATGGAGAAAAACTGTTTTGCTAGATCAAATGCTTCATCTTGATCAAATGCGGCATCTACATAAAAATATACAACACACATAAGGGTATAAGGGTCTAAGCGCCCAGTTACATGAGGAGAAAGTTTTCGCGCGGCCGCCGCGTTACCACGCCTTCACGTGTATTAATGACGAATCTGAATTCTATTTACTAGGCAACAACATTTAAATTCCTCTGAATAACGCTACCGCGCGATCTGCGCACGGCCGCCGCGCGGGCGGCCGCGTAGAACTATTTCAAGCCAGACTCGCCCGCGTGTCTGGGACGCTCATTTAGGTCAAAACGTAAAAGCTAAACAAATAGAGCGTATTTTGCCATGACAGTTTGACGCCCGTGATCGCTGCGTTGTGACAACACGGATTCCGCTCTTCGACCGCGCGGGGGGAGCGCGATGCAAATCGTGTCGAATAAACGCGTGCTAATTTGTTATACTATAGGATGTATACTTTACACGATCATATAAAAATTGCACAAAAGAGAATTACAAATCGAATAAAGACATACTAACCTAGGCCCCAAACCCGTCCCCCGCGGAACTCCCCTTCAAACTTCATTCCATCAGCTCGCCAGAACACACCATGTCCATGGAACCAGCCTTGCATGAACTCGCCTTCATACCTGCAAGCACATGTTGTTGTTTCTAAGTCAACAGGTCATGTTAATTTATATTATATTTTCTACTCTTCGGTAGACCAAAAATTATACATTGCTGGTACATTTTTAGTAGCAGTAAGCGTGAAAAAATTCTTCCAGGGAAGTACTACCACCTTACCTATTTCTGCCGCCAAGCAGTAATGTAAGCATTATTGCGTTCCGTGAAATTTTGATTTTTTCTATGACACCAAGAGTTGGGACGAACAAACGATAAAAGAAATCAAGAATACCTCTATTTCCCAAGATATAAACAACTTAAGTATTGGATACAACTAGAGATGGGTTTTTACCCGATAAATATCTGTTTTTACTGAGTATTTATCCTAAAACATAGATATTTATTTTTTTGTGTTTTTATAAAATTCATAAGAATTAATTTTATATTAAATAATTACGTACGATTACTTCTCATTTTCCCATTGTTTTATGTAACAATACTGTTTATCCTACGTTTTTCGAGTCGATAACATCTCACTAACTGCGGTAAGAATGTAAACTAGTTGCAACATACTCACCTAAACTTTTATCAACATAAACCTTGGCTGGTATAGAAAATTCGTTTGATAGAAAGTTATCTATTATATTTGATAGATTTAAATTGCGTATGTTTTTTCAAACAAGGTTTACAGGTCCCATGGTCCCGTAAAGGGCCCGAAACGTTGGTTTGTTTGAAAAAAAAAACAAATATACGCGATTTAAATCCGGAAAAATAGTTTCACGTCCTATGTGTAACAATCGCGAAAACCTAAGAACTCGATAGAAAGTTATTATATCTGTAACCCTTGAGCTGACCTATCCTGCATTAATAAAGTACGACTCAACTTTATGGTCTTGGGGTTTACTGCGTACTAAATAAAGTCATTTTTGGACTTGAAATAGCCTAATGATTCTCTTTCATAGCTTACACACAAAATCTATTAATTAAAACACGTGATATAAAAAGTAAATGTTTACAATTCTCCTTAGTGGCTCTCTCCGTCGCTTTCCCACTTATGTAAATTATTCGGTAGCGAATTTAAGCTTTGGCAAAATAGTGGCCAAGTGATTTTGAATTGAATTTCCTTTGTATTGGAATTAATTATCGTTTAAGTATTTCTAATGAAGTCCGTGTGTAGAGTTTGTACAGTTTTTTAAAATAAAATATTGCACTACCACAAACCCATACGAAGCTGAACAAAGGTACAAAACGGACCAACCTAGTAACTTGAAAAAAAAAAACAAATTCCATACAAAATGTTAGTCAGCTGATTAATATTGCGTGAAGTCAATTTCTTTTTAACAAACTACGCGTTTAACTTAAAAGGATTCTTTTTATCACTGTGTGTAACAGGAACAAGGTATAAAGCATTTACACGTACATACCACTAAATTGTATCAATATTTACATTAAACTTAAAAATATACTTTGTTTTACTAAATATAAATAATAAAAGACGAAAAAAAAATTGATAAATATATTTATTTATCTTTCTACTGAATATTTATCCCCATGATATTTATCCATGACCCCGTGACATGATCCGCAGGGACTTGTGTCCCTCTAACTTCATCAAGCTAAACGTAAAAGAGAGTCACCTGTCAACACTTGAAATTTTTCTAGCATCAAAGTAATCCTTTTTATCGCTTTTCTTTATAAATAAATTATTATTTGCAGAATAATAATATTTTATACGCTCACGCGATACATGCGATACACGCATACCACACCTAGAGGTGCCGGTGATGACTTTATACCGATTTATCGGATATCGAAGTTATAACAGGTAAAAGAACTAATACTAATTGCTGTTTCGGTAACTACTCTAGCAAACCATAAAGTTTTTAATGCCTGGGTCTGTCATTTAAAAAAATAAACAACTTCAAAAATACACGTTACATACATACAAGCAAGTAAACGTTAGAACCACTCAAACGGAATATTATCATATTTACCCAAGTACACCAAAAATTTCGTTAGTGCTTTTTAAGTGCAGGATTTGCGGTGTATTACTGCATTTTATTTGAGATGTTTATGTTGGTAGTACGGAGGGTATTTATTTAGCAATGCAGAATAATAATTTTTATTTATAAAAACTTGTATTTAAACTGAATCCTTTTCTAATTTGCGCAACCAAATAGCCGCCATTTTGCGGTAGGAAGAGCGCATCGCGTGAGCGGTTAGATTACGATAAACGGCGTTACTGTCCTTGAACGGGTTAAGGAATGCATTGTGAGGAAACCTGGAAACTTTCAGACGACGAAACAGCTAGATAGGTTCACTTCAGTTACTTTCACTATTTTATGACATACGTCATTTTTCTTTAGGATAATGCCCCCGATATTAATAGAATCTTTGTCTTGCAGAAACGTGCGGTTGAGGCAGTTTACAATCGGGTCCCAGAGAGATACGCTTAAAGAGATTAACATTCTTACACAGTACATTTATGAAAATGTTATTTCTGTTAAGAAGAATAGTAATTTCTTTACGAAAAATAGTGACAGACATTACATTAATACGTTAGCATAGTTCTTGACAGTCGTCTTCATAAAGTCTCAAATTCATTTAAAGTGCAATGTGTACGCTTCTATAATAAGATTCCGATTGATATTCAAAATTTGCTATTTACGAGGTTTAAAACTATAGCGAAACACAAAAACTTTAAACTAAAGGTTTATACAGTTTCTGCGTAGGTACTTGGATGACAAAAATCCGTGTAGCTCTTGCAAAATCGGTTCACAAATTGCTTGAGTTATCGCGTGACATACACACACAAAAAAGGGACTGGAATTGAAAACGTCAAAAAAGAGGGCTGAGGAGAAACTGATGACGAGAAAAGTCGGTTGAAAATAATATGAATATTAATTTTATGATTGAGATCCCCACACTAACTGAGAATGATATTTAGATATCTGAACATGAAACTATTCTGATAGATTAGCATTCAAATAAGTCCTGGTATCTTTTTTTATCAGAATGTAAATAAAAAAGATAGCAGGACTTATTTGTTTATATATTTGCTTAATAGGACGGATGTCGGACGGAAATCGAGAGTAGACCCCCAAATCAGAAACTATACAAATCTAGAAAACTCGGACCCACTTCGGATGCCGCTTGTACACTAAGTCCAATTCGAATCCGACAAATACGAATATCGCTTGTACACCTAGAGATAAAATTTCGGACATTTCGGACCGTCATTTCTCAGATTCGGAACTGATACGTATCAGACATAGTGCGCAAGCGATCTAAACTCTTGTGTACTGATTTGATATTTAAAAGAAACATGTACTCACTTTGCACCATCAGGAAACGCCATAACCCCAAGTCCAGAGCACAATCCGCCAATCATGGCACCATCATATCTTGTACCATCAGGGAGTACCAAATGTCCCATTCCATGCTTCTGCCCTTTGGAGTTCCATTCTCCTACGTATCGCGTTCCATCTTCATATTTGTAAGAACCAGTTTTCACTACTCCTGGATCCACAACTGAAATAATCAGACTAACTTTATTTGTCTGTCATATTTTGAAAACCTCTTTGGCCCAAGGACTTGTAGTGGGCGACCGATGATGTCCCTAGTTCAATTCCCGGTAGTTGAAGTAAATTCGGAATACTAAAAAACCCAGGAACACTCCATCATTGACTTACTATTCATTGGCAGGAAGCGCTTTGTTAATTTTTTCCAGATACATACGGTAAAGGAGAGAAATTCATTCACTGCCGACACCTTTCTTTCCTGAATGCTACAATTTAGGGCCCATAGTACCATGAATAGGTATTCACTAGGCAATCGTCGTTTTAGTACATATATTGCGTGGGGCGCACTATAAGTTTCCGGAACGAATAAGAAAAAAGTACTATAAATGGTCAGAAATGAATTTATTGTTTCTCAAAATATTCTCCGTTAGCGTTAAGCGTTAATGCACTTTTTCATACGAATGAACCAATTTTGTAAACATTTATGCCACTCCTCCGTGACAATCTCTGAAACATATTTTTCATACTCTTCGACAGCCTCTTCAGGTGATGAAAATCTTGACCACGTAGGTGGTTCTTAATTCTTGGAAATAAATAAAAGTCACAAAGTGCCAGGTCGGGACTGTACGCGGGATGGCTCATAAGGTCAACGTTGTTCACCTTCAAAAATTCATTTGCCTGTCTGGCCGTGTGAGAACAGGCATTATCGTGGTGCAAGATAATACGGCGTTTACGGTTACTTTTACGGAGTTTGTTAATAACTTCCGGCAAACAAATTGTCGTGTACTAATCACAATTCACGGTACAATGTTCTCCAAAGCAACAGCATCCACGTGTCCAGTTTTATTAAAAAAAGAAGCAATCATCCACTTAGAGGCACGCTGCACGCGCGTCACTTTGGTTGGTTTCGACTCATCTCGAAAGACCCATACCCTCTTAACTATAAATCCATGTTTCGTCACCTGTTACTATGTTCCACACCAAATTTGACGCCCCTTCGTTGAACCTGGTAAGCATGGCATTGCACCAAGTGACGCGATCAGTTTTTTAAGCCTCAGTCAAATTGTGTGGGATTCACCGAGGGCACAGCTTTTTCACACCCAAATGTTTGTGTAGTATTGATTGTATTTAACTAATAATGTCTGTTTTGATCATACGGCGCACAGCATCGATGTGTTTGTTGTTGTTGTTGTGACAGTGAATGGGCGACCATCACGAAACTCGTCACTGAGATTCACACGACCGCGTTTGAATTCTGCAAACCAGCTATAAATAAATAGTCGTCTTGCATGGTGATTCATCGCCAAAATCAGTTTGAAGCCGAGAGAAGCTCCGCTGAGCAGTTAAATTACACTTAAAGTCGTAGAAAATCATACTACGAATATTTTCACGAGTTAAATCTAAGGTAATGTAGACAACCAATTTCTAAAATGACACCACGACGTGAAAACAAGTGACAGCCAGATGACACAAACTGTATCCTACAGCCAGAAAGTTCCATTTTCAAATGTTGTAATTACTTTTTAAATATTGTTTATGTAAGTTGCCAGTTCCGGAAACTTATAGTGCGCCCTATGTATTACACCGGCGTCGCAGTTTGTTTACGGAAATGTAATTTCATGAAAAACAGTGATTGTCTATTTATTCTAACATTAATATTAGAAATAAAAACGAGCTGACTACTTTTCACAGTCGTCTCTAAAAGCCTAACTTCATCACTTCATTGTTGGTGTATTTTGTCACTGGACTGTCCTAGTGTTCATTGTTCTTTGAGTCCTTTAAATATAAATGCACAAAGGGCCTTATTAATAAATCCGTCTCAAGTGCTGGGTAAACATTAAGCTCCTACTTAAGTGGACTGCCTTTGCTAAGAAAAGTCCCTTGTGTGGATATTAACTAATGTTGCAACGGAGGACAGAGGCTGAATACCTACCTATTAAAATTTTATCACAATATCTTATATGGCGAGCATCGCGACGACACATTTTTGTCATCGCAAGCACTTCGACCACTGACTGCAAAAGAATAACACAGTGGCAAAACATTTGCAAGGTCACAGACGATTTTAAAACATTTTGACAGTTCTCCACAGTAATTTTATCAATGTAAAATTTGAGCGCGGCAGCGAGATGAAAAGAAATAATAAAACAAACAAATTGATATGTAAAAATTATTGGAAAAAAGCGAGGAGAACATTTTTAATACAGTTCAATACATGAGAGTAATTAGAAATTCAAAAATAATAACTAATATAATGTAAATTATGTAAAAACAGAAACTACAAAAACCCGACATTTCTTTTTTTCATCGTTTTCGCGGCGATGATTAAAGGACAAAGATAGCTATACCAAATAAGGAAACTTAACTTTATCAACTGAAATAAATATTGTCACGGTGAGGTTTATCACACTTATACTGCCATACTACGACCACAGTCATGAACAATGGATCAAAAATGAGGGAGTTAATTTAGCTAAACTAAAGAATAACATAGACATTCCCTTGTACAAATCCCGGGACTTCACGGAACTGATTATATCTGAATATGCGTATTAATTATTAAAATTTGAGCATATTGGCGACAAATTATTATTTGCTATTAAGTATTTGCTACAAATTATTGTCTCAAAAAATAATATAGTTTGTGCTTCTTCAGGTATTTACGTATTTAAATACTTGAGCCATTTAAAAAACAAACATTGGATAACCTATATTTTGAAATGCTTAGAAAATAAACATGAAATGAAACTAAAAAGTTACGTTAATTTTCAAGTTTATAATTAAATTTTATTACTTAATGAGAAAAGTTTTCTTTTACTGCTTATTTCACTTCTGTTTGATACTTACAAAAACTTAATTTTGTTTTACTTTATATTTTCGTTTGGTTTGCAATACCGAATACTCGTTGCAACTCTAATATCAACGATCGGAATAGACAGTACTCTGTCTATTACTTTAACTTAAGTAATATAAATCGATTGATTAATCTAATCTCATCAGGAGTATATTATATTCATGCGCTTTACGTTAATAAAAGTCAAATCATAATAGTTGTCGAAATATAGCCGTAAAGGACACGGTTGAGAGAAACACTCTGATCACTGTTTTAGTCAGGAATTATTTGATAATTGATTGGTCTATTCTCTCTTCGTTATCAATTCGTTCATTCGGCAAAGAAATAATAACGTCAGTTGGTTGCAATAAGTTCGTTTAGCACCTCTCACAGTAGTTAGTTCAGAAATTACAACAAAAAATTGATTATCTTAAATCAGATTTTAAAATTCACAGGGAACGGCCGCGCTTGGGTTTTCTTTCTACAGTATTACTTGAAATATAAAAAATATTGATTAAATATTTTTGTACATGAAAATAACATCCAAATATAAAATAATTCTGTGCCTTATTATCATTTAAAGTAATATTGTAGAAAAAATAAATAAATATGAGTTACTCTGCTTTTGTGCTGATATTTGTGCTGATATATTTGTGCTGATATTATTCATATTGAACCGAATATATTGAACATTTTGAACAATATGAACATAACACAATAGGTGCTGTTTTTTATTATTTTTTTTATTTTCATAATATCACGACGATGGCAAGCATTATAGTGTATGCCATCGAAACAATAAGAAAAAAAATTACTTAGCAGATGTGTGCAGGTTACCTCACCATGTTTTTCTTCGGCGAAAAGCTCACGGTAAACTTCAAATTAAATGTTTATTAAATTACGAGCCTTAATTATTAATAATATCACTTACCGTCTACCATAGTGTAGTCGGGATGTTCTTTCAGCGTTCTCAATAGTACTGAAAGGCTTCCCTTCGGGGTTTGACTATAATTTAATTACGAGTAACTGTCCCACTTAATATGTATAATAGAGTATGTGAAAGTATGGTGTGTAGTTATAGTAGACACCACAATTAAAAAGTAAAATTCCTTGAGAATATAGTAGCTTTCAAGGGATATTTTACATTTTGCTACTAGATTATAAAATAGTTAGCCTTCATCGATACCTGTAATGAACACTACACGAACTTAATTCTGGACCTGTTGTGTTTTTATTTCGTTTTTTTCTCTTTGTTTTTCTTTTGTTTTTTTAGAATTTTGTTTCTTTATTTTTTTTTTCACAAAATTCGGGGAGCTTAATGTTAGTAAATAAATATGACTGTTTACAAAAACAACAGAAAATTACCAAAAAATAAAGTTGCCGTAGTGTTAATTGCAGGTATCAATATAGTCCCACTGCTGGGCACAGACTTTCTTTCGCAATGAGAGCTTGATCCGTAATTCTCACGCGGGCCCAGTGTTTATTGGGAACTTCACACACACATTAAATTGTTTTGCTTTGGGGTGCACGAAAGGAGCCTCCCCGCATAACATTTTTTTTTGCGTGGGGAAATCGTCATAGGATATTATTATGACAGGACTTCTACAGGCTAAAACACCACGGTGGCCTTCTTGGGTGCTCTAGTTGGAAGGATCCGGGATCGATTTTGCGCACCGGAACACCCCAGCACGTAGGAGGAGCTACGTCCTCCCCCTCCCCTCCTCACGACGAAGCGGGCCACACCGCCTCGTCGTCCTCCTCGCGGCTGCCTAAATTACTGGCGAACGAAGCCCCCGCTCCGATTGCCCGCAGCCGCGAAGGTGCCACTGCCTCATGGGACTCTTGATCCGCCAACATAGATATTTTCAATATTCTAAAACTGGGTTACATACTCTCAGTGCAACGTACACTCAGTAGGGGTGCGGGCACAACGCGTTTCAACTATACTAACCACAGACGTAGTACCAAACACTGTTTTCCAGCCGCCCGGGGGCTACCGATCATCCATTATCACGATTCAACACGTGAATTTAATTAATTTGTCTAAATGCGAAATTAGTTTTTATAGATGTAATATCACTAACATTCATAGTAATCAACGATATTTTTATATTTGCCACTTATTTTAAGTAAATTTACCGTACCAATACTAAACCCGTCTTGTTCCCTACAATGAAGAAACGCCTTAATTATATCCCATTATAGTACCAAATTATGATGGTTTTAAAAAGATTACCAACGCTCAGGTCCAAGCGAAAAAGGTAAATGGCTGACAATCCCGTCTCGTTAACAAATCGGTGTTAATTAGGTGACATTGAAAGCAAAGATGATAAACACTGCGAAAATATTAAACGTGAGGATTATAACTTTGTTCTGAAATTGTTTATTTAATATTTGCAAGTTTGCTCGCTTATCCCATTTTGTAGATTTGCAATCTAATATTGCAATTCATAACATGTAAAAAGCATTTTAAAATATTGCATCTGAACATGGTAGGATTTTATAATTAAATCTAATAGCAATGGGGGAATGAGTGCGTCCAGGGAAGCACTATCTCCATACGTACCAGTTTTTAAATTTAAAGGTGCTCGTGAAACGGATCAAATAAAGACTTTTCAATTTGACGGGTGTAGAGACAGTGCCCCTCAGATCTTTGCGATTTAAAGCTCTAAATGGCACTGCAACTGCTATGGACAAGTATGTCGCTAACCGCCAGTAGAGCTAGCACAACAGGGCGCGACTTGCGCGACAGCGACTTAAAGCGCCAAATACTGCTATTCTCACATAGAGATCTCGCGGTTTGTATTGCTCTCGCGCAAGTTAACCCCTGTCGTGCTAGCCCTATAAACGTACGACTTTTTGACGAACGTGATCTCTTCTAGAGATAACCTCTCCTTTGTATAAGTCCTTCGTAACATGTGTTTTTATATCTTTGAGCAATTAAGAATTTACAAAAAAAATAGTTTCTGTTTCAAGATGATCAAAAGTTAAGAGATTGGTCAATTACTATGTTAGATAAAATTGCCTTTGTAAGCCTTCTTGCTCCATTTAACTGTTATCTTGTAACCAAAACGACTTAAGCTCAGTTAATTTATCTCCGTTCTGCCCAGGACATGTCCACAAATCAAAGTCGTCTCTCGTTGTACACTTATAAATTGTAGTATTTTGTTTTATAATATCTAGTCACGGAACGAACAAGTCGTGCGCCTGATGGTACACGCCTGTTCATAACAGTTGCAGTGCCACTTAGAGCTTTAAATTGCAAAGATCTGAGGGGTACTGCCACTGCGCCCGTCACAACAAATCAGGTTGACGACTCCCATGTGCCTGTAATTTCACCAGAACCCTTACCCGTCAAAACCGGAACACAGTAATGCTGACATTACTGCTTGGCGGCAGATAAAGGTAAGATGGCAGTACTTCCCTGGACGAACTCTTTCACAAGTAGATCTACTGCTACTAAAAATGAAATTATATATTTTGTAGCTCACGTTCATTCTTAGAACCTTTCAATGAGAATAATGAATTATCCTTTCTAGGATCAAGGTTTATTAAGGAGCATAAAGTTTGTCAAGCTCGTCCAATTTCGAACTTAATTAATTCAACGCGAAACTAACAAACCACGATCTTAGGTATTTACGTTCTAGGTCGTGACCACAAAATGTAATGGAGTTTGATTAGTTAGTTTTACTACGCAGTTCCATCTCATTAGGGCCTTGTAACCCGAAATACAGTTCATCGTTAATTACTCGAGTTTTGCTTTTAATTTCGCAGATGATACGAAAATAAATGCCAAGATTTCTTCAGTTGATGACGCTACTGGTCTTCAATCTGATTTATCTCGTCTTGACGACTACTTTGTTAGCAATAAGCTAGACCTTACCCCTCTAAATGTTTTTCAATTACTTTTTCGCGTAAGTTTGATAATATATGTACCTCGTATAGCTTGAGAAACATTGATCTTCAACATAAGATAATCGTGAAAGATCTAGGGGTCATTCATGATTCTAAGCTAATTTTTGATACTCATATAGATGCTATTGTTTCTCAAGCTATTAAGTCACTTGGATTCATAATACGGAATTCAGTCAGTTTCTCAAGACCTACAACTCTCCGAATATTGTGCGTATGTCCGTAGTAAATTGGAATATGCCTCCCAAATTTGGAATCCATGTTATCAAATTTATGTAGACAGAGTTGAATGAGTCCAGGAAAAATGTATGAAAATATTATGTTCTACAGATAAAATGGGCAAGTCTTTTAATTCAATCGAATATCTACGTCTTTGTAAAGATCAACACATATTGCCTCTTATTACTCGCCGGAATATTGCTGATTTAGTGTATTTGTTAATCATCATAAACGGTGATGTCGACTGTCCCGAATTACTGAGTAGTATTGTGTTTAATATACCTACGCGTTTCATGAGATACTACCGTCCTGTTGCAGTAAACTTGTGGACGCGTTTGTTTAATGGGCGATCATTTCGTGGCGCAGGTATATATATATATACCTGCGCCACTGTTATAAATACACTTAATATGTATATATTAAGTGTATTTGTAACATAATAATTTTATTTACTGTGACCACTTTCTAAGTGCTCATTGTTTAGTCATTAGGTTATTATAAGCGAAAACCTTTAATTGGCTGTAATGTATTTGTTGATGTTTTTAATTTGTTGTTAAGCTGTTGGTTTTCCGCGAATAAATAAATGAATGAATGAATGAATAAATAAAAAATAAAAAAATAAATAAATAAATAAATTTAAATATTTTACTATTAAGGCGAGTCATCAGAGGAAAAGCGGAGAAAAACTGTTCTGCTGAATCAAATGTTTTAGGTATTTACTATTGAATAACAGTCTTACAAAAAATATACGATACACTTAAGGATATTATCTAAAGAATGAGCTCATTCATTACACGATAAAATGTACGTTTGTAGCGCTGGTGAGAGGAGGGGTTGTAAAACAAAACAAAAAGTTATGCGGCTAGGAACCCATCAGTGCGTCTCACGGTTAAGTAGGATATCAGAGTAAGGACCGAAACGTCTCAATAACTTGAGTGCCGTTCAGTGCCATACAATTGCTATAGCGGTGGAAAGCATTTATGGTAAGCATCCGCAATACAAAACATATGAGATGACTTTATACTATTGGAATTAACAAAACGATAGCGCGTCTCAGAGTACTAGATGGAACTAATAACCGAGGTCATGTAAAATCCCGAAACCAGGCTAGATAAAACGGATCATTTAAAAATAAGATATCTAAAATTGCATTATATTATTTTTATAGGGAGATATTTTTCTTTACGTACTACAAGAGAATCTCCTAAATTTTTAACTGAAGTCCTAAGTTATTAAAATCACATTTGAAACTCCAAAACTTGAAAATTGCCCAACGGTTAACGTTACGCCGCGTCGCCCGCTCAACAGGATACAATCCAAAACTGTGACAGATAATAAAGATATTATTTTATTAATAATATGCTTGATAACCACACTATTAATCAACATCTTTTTAAACTGTAATGTAAAGGAAATTGCCCAAAAAGATGCCTAAAGTACATGTACACACTTACTTAGTTTAGGCGTCGCAATTACACATTAGGTTCTAATATTAAAATAAAAAATGTAAACTTTACTATGGAAGAATGTATAATTTATTCCACTCGCACATTTAGGTTAGGTGCCAACACCAGCAGCAGCGTCGACAGATCACTGACACACATATGATATCGCACTATTAATACAATAGTGTATTAACTCAAAACGTGTATTTTTTTCGGAATCGATCAGAACTGAATTACTCACTTCCCATGAAAGATTATTAAAATTTATAATAAACTTTATCCTATGATATCCTAATTTGAAATATTTTTCGAACAGAAGTTACTGAAAATTTCTTCGCATTAATTCAAATTGCACAATCTAATAATAAAATCAACCTTTCCTCA